AAACAAGGATTGAATCAGCTTGGTGTTTGAAGGGGGCTGCGTAAATTCCCAGCTGGGGGTGGCGTTGGGGCGGAGGGAAACTTGTCACTACAGGAGAGAAAGAAATAAGGAGAATGGGACTTCCTTCCGCTTTGATAGTGTGAGATCTGGGTATGCTTCTGGGTTGCTAATCTCAGTGGGATTCTCATAAGCAGAAAATGAGTCTAGGTGTGAACTCAGATGAGCTACTTGGGGCACGACAGGGAGGTGTGTGTGGCTGGCATGTGGCGTGCAGGGAGACGACCGGAGAGGAAAGGCTGGGGCTGGTGGGGTGGGCTGGGAGGCCGGGTCTCAGCTGCCTTTATCTGGTAGGCAGGTGGGAGCTTTGGAATGTATTTGAAAGAAATGTCGAGATGTGATGTGCGTTTCAGCTTCAGCAGGGTCCCTGGGGGCAGGAGAAAATGCATCAGGAGAGTCCTGTAAAAGGTAGGGGCGAGATGGGATGAAGGTTTAGGCCAGAACAGAGAGGAGATGGAAGTGGGAGGCCAGATCAAGAAGTCTGAGTGACAGGAAGCAGGGCCAGTGCTGAACATTTTAGCCTTGATGATGGGGAGGATGATGGGGAGTGAGAGGGAGCCTGTGAGTTTCAGATAGTCCTTCTTTCACCTGTTTCCCAGTAGCAGGTTCTTTTGGAGAGACCTTAAGTGCACCTGAAGGCTTCCTGATCAGCACCGTCTGATCCTTGCCTGGCCTGTCTCCTTTCTTCCTCTTCGGGCTTTCATAGGAAAACGAGGCCTCCCTTCACTGGGTTCACTCTTACAAAGGTTACTGTGAGTCGCGGTTAACCAGAAGTCAGTGCCAGAACTGAGTAACCCCACTGGAATTCGGCCTGTGGCTGCTGTTAGTGCCCCAGGTCATTTAAATGACAACTCCCTCCCAGACTGTCACTTTTTGCCAAGGGGAGACCTCGGTGGCTTTCCAGTTTCTGAGTCAGCAAGGTGGTCAGGGGCCTGGTTCTGCCCTTACCCTTGAGGTGAGGGTGCTTGTTTGAAGCATGCTGTCTCCTGCCCCAGAGGAGCCACTGCTGCTGGCCGAACTCAAGCCCGGGCGCCCCCATCAGTTTGATTGGAAGTCAAGCTGTGAAACGTGGAGCGTTGCCTTCTCTCCGGATGGTTCCTGGTTCGCCTGGTCTCAAGGACACTGCATTGTCAAGCTGATCCCCTGGCCGCTGGAGGAGCAGTTGTAAGTTCTTTCACACCCTAGGGAATGAGGGAGTCCTGGGGAACTGAGCGCTGTCCCAGATGACTCCCTGCCCGAGAGCAGGAGAGGGAAGGTGGCCAAAACAGTTCAGGAATTGATCAGTGAGGTTTCCAGGGTCCCACATTCTGTACCTGTGAAAATTAACTCCATCGAGATTATGTTAGCCCTGAGTTTCTTTTTTTTAACAGCTTTGCTGAGATATAATTTACACGCCATACAATTTGCCCATTTAAAGTGTACAGCTAGAGACCCAACTGGGTAGTTAGGCTTGATTATTTGGCAGCTGCTGATTAGGGATGATTCCCCCTTACCAACTAACTGTATTTTAAATTTCTCTAAATTACCTGAGTCCTTTGGAGGCAAACAGACTTGTCTTTCACAAAAAAAATAAATAAAGTGTACAGCTAAGTGACTTGAGAATATTCACAGAGTTGTGCATCCATCACCATGATCAATCTTACAACATTTTTGTCACCCCAAAAAGAAACCCTCTAATCCCCCTCTGCTCTACAGCCCTGAGCAGCCTCTAATCTACTTTCTGTCTTTATAGATTTGCCTATTCTAGACATTTCATACAAATCGAATCATACACTATGTAGTTGGTTGACTGGCTTGTTTCACTTAGGATACTGTTTTCATGGTTATCCATGTTGTAGCATGCTTCATTACTTCATTTCCCTTTACTGCCAAATAATGTTCCATTTTATGGAGACACCACATTTAGTTTATAAGTTTATCCACTGGTGAACATTCAGGTGGTTTTCACTTTTTGGCTATTAGATAATGCTTCTGTGAACACTTATGTCAAGTTTTTGTGTGGATATTTGTTTTTGTATATGTTTAACTGGTTGAGGCACTGTCGGACTGTTTTTCAAAGTGGTTGCACCATTTTACAATCCCACCAGCAATGTTGGAGATTTCCATTTTCCACATCCTGACCAACACTTGTTATCGACTTTTTTTTTTTTTTTTTTTTTTGCGGTACGCGGGCCCCTCACTGTTGTGGCCTCCCCTGTTGCGGAGCACAGGTTCCGGACGCGCAGGCTCAGCGGCCATGGCTCACGGGCCCAGCCGCTCCGCGGCATGTGGGATCTTCCCGTTCCGGGAAGCAGGCGGACTCTCAACCACTGCGCCACCAGGGAAGCCCTCCACTGTCTTTTTGATTATAGTGTAGCCATCCTAGTGGGAGCAAAGTGGCATCTCATTGTGGTTTTGATTTGCATTTCCTTGTTGGCTACTGATCTTGCCCACCTTTTCATGTGCTTATTGGCCCTTTGCATGTCTTCTTTGGAGAAATGTCTATTCAGATCCTTGGTCCATTTTAAAATTGGCTAGTTGCCTTTTTTATTATCAACCAAGTTCAGTTCCTGATATTAGCTAGCTTTTCTTTCTCTGGGCTGGACAAGTCCCAGTATCTGAATGCTGTGAGCTCCCAGTCAGATGGCCCAGCATCAGTATTTTTTTCATTTGTCACAGGGCAACTCTACCTCTGTATTTATTTACTCAGCCAACAGTTGTTGCAGTCGTCCTTGCCTGACCGAGAGCCAGGGGCTGAGAATCCTGAAATAAATCAAACATGGCCCCTGCCCATGAGGGTCTCATTTGTTTTGCTTTAAGCATTTCTTACAAGTAGCATGTTAGATTTAAGTTTTTTATAAGTTCAGTCTGAAACTTGTTGCCTTGATAATAGGTAATGCTGATGAAAATTTGCTGAGATGGGTACTGTGCACACTGCTAGGGTTGAGGAGTATAAATTTGTGCACTTGCTGGAAGGAAGGCCATTTCGAGGACCTTAAAGCTGCTCTTCCTGCGATTAGGAATCTCAGAAATGGGGTCATCTATTTATTTATTAAAAAATTTTTATTGGAGTACAGTTGATTTACAATGTTGTTATTTTCTGCTGTACAGCAAAATGAATCAATTATACATATACATATATCCACTCTCTTTTAGATTCTTTTCCCACATAGGTCATTACAGAATATTGAGTAGAGTTCCCTGTGCTATACAGTAGGTCCTTATTAGTTATCTATATATATAGTAGTGTGTATATGTCGATCCCAATCTCCCAATTTATTTCTCCCGCCACTTCCCCCGGTAACCATAAGATTATGTTCTACATCTGTGTCTCTATTTCTGTTTTGTAGATAAGTTCATTTGTACCATTTTTTTATAGTCCACATATAAGTGATATCACATGATTATTTGTCTTTCACTGCCTGACTTCACTTAGTATGACAATCTCTAGGTCCGTCCATGTTGCTGCAAATGGGAGGTCATCCATTTACATACACTGATTTTCAACATGAAATTAATCATATGGTAGTTAAAAATCAGAAATAGCTTAAAATCTGGTGATGAGAGAACGCTTAAGGAAATTTTGGCATTGCTGTATATTTTTGTAGCCATCAAAGATTGTTGTGTGTGTTTTTTGTTTTTGTTTTTTTTTTAATCACAATTTTCAGTTCCTTCTATACTCAGTTTAATGGTAATGCCAAGATCATTATTTATTGATTCCCCCAGTCTAAATACAAGGGACTCAACTTCATATCCAGACTTAAATCTGATGTAGAGTTATAGTCTGAAAAAGTATTTTTTAAAAAGCATAAAGTGGGAAATCTGTTACTTCCTTGAAAGTCACTCTTGTATTCAAATATATATATTACTATACATAAATATATCTTTCCAGTATTAGGGAAAATGTAAATTTGAGCATTAACCCTTTATGTGTATCTTTTGTTTAATATAATGAAGGGAAATATTGTTTAATATGTTAAATGAGCAGTTTCTTGTTTTAGGGAAAAATCACACATTTTGAAGAATAATAAATTGAGGAAATGCTTACAGTACAAGGCTTACTGAAAAAAGCAAGCTATGAAACTGTATTTGCAGTATGATCCCAAATTTGTTTTTGAATAACATGTGAATGTACACATAAATTAAAAATTCATTGTACAGTGTTTACTGTGGTTAGAGTGGTATTTGGATCTGGGTAATTTTTATAATTTTCTCATTTCCAAAATTTCCCCATGTTTCACTATTAATTTTATAATTTAAAATAATTGTTATTTTTAAAGTCCTTTAAAAGGGGAAATCTGGGGCCTTTATATTCTTGTTAGGATTGTTATACATTTAAAAAATCATATAATGTAGCGCTTTTGATATTGAGCAAATAATTGATAATAACTAGATAAATGTACTACTACTTTTAGAAATAAAATTTCCTGAAAATTCAGTTTTGATGAAGTTAAATTCTCCTAATGACTGTCCCCGGCCCCGAGCGGCCCCCTCCCACAGTCACGTCTGCCACCTCCCATGTAGCTCATCCCTTGAATTCATTGCAGACTCTGAAGTCCAGGGCATGTGCTGAACACTAGGCTAGGACACCCAAGACTTGACTACTAGTTCCCGTTCTGTCCCCGATTTTGTGACCCCAGGAAAGTTATCTCTACCCCTAACATGTTAAATTTATGATAGTAAAATGAATTACTATGTCAATGTGCCTTAATTCCTTTGGAATAAAGTAGCTACGGATGTATCCCTTAATTCAAATACAGAAATCAGGATTTTATTAAAAAAAAAAAACGAAAGGTAACTTGGGAGGTTCTGAGTTGGCCTACAGAGCTCTCCCCATAGCTTGCCTTTTCTGTGCTTCTCCCCTGGATGGCCAACTAAGGCCCCCGAGTCAGGGTTGGGCAGGTCTTTGAAGTGCGTGTGTCAGCCTGGCTGGGGCTGGATGTGGATTGGGCGGGCTTCATTGAAAAGACATTCAGTGTCACATTTCAGATGTTCTGTCAGAATGACAAATTTTCAGACCACGTTTGGCCATTTAGGCCAGGGGTCGGCACACTTTCTCTATAAAGGCCCAGATAGTAAATATTTCTGGCTTTGGGGGCTGTATGTCTCTGTCAAGACAAGTCAGCTCTGCTGCTCGAGCGTGAACACGTCCCTAGGCGAGAGGTGGGCAGAAGAGCCTGGTGGAGGTGGGAGACGGCTTCGCGTACAGAACAGACTGCCATCCCGGGCACACTCCCGCAGCCTCTGCTTTAGAATGACAGACTTTCAGAGCCGAAGGAGCCCACATTTGCCGCAGTCTCTCCCTTCTAGTTCTGTAGGTGAGCTTGCTTAAAATTCTTTAATATATTTCGATGATGCGATTGGCAAAAATGTGACTTACTTAACTTTTCGGGAACAGATGTAAAAGAGGTTCAGCTGCATGTATGTTGGCTATAGGATTTTTCATGGAAATGAGTCCCAGCTTTATCATCACTCTTTTCC